AATATATATACAGTAAATGTGGGTATTAATTTGCTCTGATCTTTTCACAACACCAAGACAACAGTGTCATATTGACTGCATGCTCCTTTTAAGACACAAATATAAATGAATATATGTACATTAATAACAATAATAATAATATTAATACTACTTCTACTAATAATATCTATGTAAATGTATATATTAATCCGAGATGGACTGGCATCCTGTCTAGGGTGTATCCTGCCTTGTGCCTGTTGCTTGCTCTGGTTTCTTATCAAGGACTTGCACAGCCAATAGGAAACCAAAGTGAATGATAACACCTACTGATTGGTGTGATGGGCTGATTGGCCAAAAGGCTGTTTTAACAATCTGCCAGAGAGATGGAAGTTACCTGAGAACCTCCTCTTCTCCAAGAAGTCCCTCATGAATTGCGATTCGGTGAAGAGGATGTCGTACATCTTGTCGACGCTGAACTTGAACACCTCATTGATGTACTGCCGTCCGTTCAGGTCCTCGTAGAAGGCCTGTACCTCTCCTGTTGACCACGGGACAGGTGGAGTCCAGGAGAGAGACAGAGGACACAGGTTCATTTTGTATTCTGCTGTTACAGACTGCTAATTAAACAAGCTATTCTGACGTCAGAGTACTCCTCTGAAAATCAACAGCTGCCAGTTTTCAAGAGCTTATCAGAAGAAGCTACAAAGAAGAAGCTCCGGTCTTTTATTCTGTAGTATATGTATTGGATATCCACTGAGACTCCCACATTCCTCCCCTCTTCTCCTTGTGTCCTTGAGACATACCCAGCCATCACAACCGCTCACACTAATTTAATCATAATCCCCGCAGACAGGATCATGGCAGAATTCTTCATAAATAAGCCTTTAAAATCAGTCTGTCATTTTCCTTCAACATTTTTGCCATTTGACTGAATCGTGTGGGTGCACTGCGGTGAGGATGATGCGGGCGCTCTGATGTTGTGACCTCAGCAGACCGTCCCCCTGCCCTGTTCGTACCCTCGTCGTGTGTCTCAGAGGAGTCGCTCAGCTCGGTGGGGAGGTCCTCGTTGTCGTTGAAGTCCAGCGAGGGCGAGTTGACGGGCGCGCTGCCCTCGTTCTTGTCGATGTTTAGCTGGGGGAGCAGGAGGTCAGAGAAGTCCGTGTCATCCTCTCCAACAGGGATATCAAACTAGGGGAGAGAACGAGAAATCCGACAGGATCAATGATCAGGAATGGCTCATCCTGGTGATATTGCTGTGGAATATCAATGTTATTGGTTTTCCAAGTCTTCCTGTGATTTAGCTGTGCTTGATCTGGTGTGGGATATGTCCTGTGCAGAAAATC